TACGTGAGAGCAGAAGACCATGTCAAAAAAGATGCCCTCCTAAAACTATTGATACATAAAAAAAGAATACAAAACAGAAGATACACCACAGCAAAAAAGAACACATGAGAGAACTACGGAGGAAGGTGATAGAAGCAGCAAAAAATAAAAATAAAAAAATCCATCCCTTTTCTGGAAACTAATTTCAGGCAGACTATCGGAGCCCAAACACTCATTATCCTCCTGTATCCCAGATAAATGGGTATCCCACTTTACAAGTATGTATGAGGATGTCATTGTGCCCCTCTCTCCACTAACGCTTGGAAGCACTTCCAAATGGCCCCCAGTAACCCCCAGATGAAATTATAGCTCGTATAGACGTATAGATTAGCTGAAAAATGGCAATGCCCCAGACCTTGATGGCATCCCACCAGAACTCCTAAAAGAAAGTAAGACATGGTGGGGCTCCTTTCTAGCACCTCTTTTCACACATATCAGTGACACAGGTCATATCCTGATATCATGGAAAACAGCCATAGTAGTCCCATTCTACAAGAAGGGGAAAAGGGAAGACCCAGCCAACTACAGGCCAATAAGTTTGCTGCATATTATAAGCAAACTATACGCAAGACACCTCCTAGATAAACTCCTGGATTGGTTCAAAGTAGAAAATATCATTGGGGCAAAACAAACAGGCTTTCGGCCAGGGAGATCCACAATAGATGAATTCCTATTTATACAACATCTTATTGAGAAATACTCGGCCATAGGAGCAGCTTCACTCTATGCCGCCTTTGTGGATTTTAAATCAGCATTCGACTCTATATCTAGAATACACCTCTGGGACAAATTAACCAACTCATCTGTAGACAAAAGACTTTTATATTTATTCAGGGCCCTACATAAAGAAATATACCTGAGAGTCAGGTGCAGCAGAGAAGGGTACCTCATGGAATCTGTGCAAATGCGCAGAGGTCTTAGGCAAGGCTGCCTACTGGCACCAACATTATTCATCTTTTATATAAATGATCTATCAAACTGGCTTAACACCACTGATCTCCATTCCCCTAAACTTGTAGACAGAACACTGCCAGTTCTACTCTATGCTGATGAAACAGTAATTCTATCCAGAACCCCCATAGAGTTGAGGAGGGCACTTAAGAAGCTCACCTCATACTGTGAAAACAAATCCCTGACTATTAACTGTCAGAAGACCAAGATAGTTGCCTTTGGACGTAGACCCAAGAATCACTCATGGCAAATAAATGGTATCGAGCAGGTGAACAACTTCAAATATCTGGGGGTAGTTCTACAGGCCTTGGGATCTAGGCTTCAGCATAGTAAACATGCGGCAGATCAGGGAGAAAGATCGGCAAATAATATAGTAAAATTCCATCTCTCCCAAGGAGGGTCCTTTATACCAGCAGCCCTCAAACTCTACAAAGCAAAGGCTTTAGCTCAGCTGTTGGTACGGATCATTCATGGGGCCACCCAGCTCTCACTTTGCATCACAAGAAATGGTTCAATCTAAATTTCTAAGAACTATACTGCCGGTCCCAAGATGCATGTCAAATAAATAATATAGTAAAATTCCATCTCTCCCAAGGAGGGTCCTTTATACCAGCAGCCCTCAAACTCTACAAAGCAAAGGCTTTAGCTCAGCTGTTGGTACGGATCATTCATGGGGCCACCCAGCTCTCACTTTGCATCACAAGAAATGGTTCAATCTAAATTTCTAAGAACTATACTGCCGGTCCCAAGATGCATGTCAAATACAAGGATAAAGCTAGAAAGAGGATGCCTTAAAGTAGGAGCCTGGATTAGGATCTAATCTATATATGTGGCTAAAGGGACAGTTAAACTCCAAAGGCCTATTTTCTTTGATATTTAACAATAATTATCAATCCAAGTGGGTCAAATCTGTCTAGGGTTACTTGGGGAAAATTGGCCTCTCGCCCCAGGCACTTATATCTTCTGGAATAGAGCAGACAAAACAGATAGTCAAACAAAGAATAGAGGACAATGAATATCAAACAGATCTCTCTAGCATTCAAAACATGGCAGTAAGGAGTTACATCAAAAACTGTATGGAACAGGCCAAATACTTAAGGTCTCTGGAAATTAAAGGAACTAGAAGAGCCTTTACGTTGTCAAGGTGTTTCGCCCTCCCCTCTGTTATACTAGAAGGAAAGTAAAAAATACTCCTTTTGCTGAAAGGTTATGTTCCTGCTACCTGAGGGAGATCAAGACCATACAGCATGTTTTTCACCTGCCCATTGTATAATGTAGCACGCAAAGAGACTATTACCCCCTTAATAGAAAGAATCCCAGGATGTTCAAACAGGTTTGAGTTCCTTCTCTTGGATGTTGATATGCACATCACCTGTCAAGTTGTGAAATTCTGTGCAGCAATACTTTGATTACGGAAGTCAAATTCCAACTAGATAGTAGCTCCCAGCTGTATGCATGCTAAAATATTCTAATGGAATATTGAAAGTTAGAAATTACAAGGTTTTATAAGGTTTTTATACATATGTGACTGGTCAAAGGACTGTAAATAAATTATTCACCCTGTTTGTTACATCATGACCCTTCTGCAAACAGAAGATACTTAACCACCCAGAGTAGACCTTTGGTCTAGATGGGTGGGGCAGAAATCCAATAAAATAAATAAATAAGACCATAAGACAAACGCATGCAAAAGCAATGAATCAATGATGAAAAAATATAGCAGGGCTGGCTGTAAGAATAATTTCAAAATTCAAATTAGTGTCATACCTTTACTAGGGCAATGAAGAAGGCACAACAGTTGAGTTGATGAAAGGTTTTTGAAACTTCCATAGTCAGAAAACATTCTCCTGCAGTATTTTTACCAGGCAGGAAGTTACCTGCACGTATATTTATCAGCTGAAACCTCAGGGCCAAATTAGACATGCCATTTGTAAATTTACCTTTTTAAAAGAATAAATAGTCAGCATGGAAAATAGGTAAAAGTGACATTGTGTATGTTGGGAAAAGGGCTTGAACTCTTTATTGTCATTTATAATCACTCAGTCCCAGTAGTTTTTCCTCCAATCTAATTTCCTTTAATTCACTTTTTTCCAGATTTACAGTTCAATTTCAAAGCTTTCAAATGTGGTATGAGAATTTTTTAAAAAGCATGTTTAAAACCCAAGCCCCCATTGTGCATGCAAGTTAGATCCCCCCTTATAGATTTGCAGTATACAAACTGTGACTTTAACTTGATAAGGATCACCATGGAGACTGTAAAAAAACAAATAAAAACATTTGACACAAAAAATCTGATTACAATCAGTTGTATACAGCCCACAACAAAATAATCCAGATCCAGATCAAGAATGTGATATAATGCATGTGTGATACTTGCAATAGAAATTATTTTAATTCAGAGCTGGGACTCCATACATGAAGCAGCCCATCTGCTGGTGGAGGTTATGGTGATCCAGCAGAAATTCCTTGCTAGGAGAATGGAGTAGATCAGGGCAGCAATTTCCATAAATTTTCTGTTTACCTTGCAACCTTCAGCAATGTATCACAGAGTATGATTCAGAGGGCATAATGGGATGGGGAGGAAAGGACAGAATTGGCAAACATTGCTCCCTCGCCCTGCAGTTTGAGAGCTCTGCTCGAAGTTACTCTGAATCCAATACATAACCCCTACCCCCTCTTTAGAAAATGCTTTGTACTTTTAATAGCTCCATCAGAGGTAGAAACCTGAGAGAGAGCTTTCCCAAATATAGAGAATCAATGAAGAGAAAAAAGCCTGCACCTTTCAATTTCTACTTGAGGTGAAAATGTTAAAGGCCCACAGCGGCTGAAAAGAAAGAGGTGGCAAAACTGATTCATGTACATTCATAGTAAATGCAGAGACATAAGGGCCAGAATCCTACTGGGCATTTATGCCTGCATAAGCCTAATTGCACCAACCACAGTGGTGAATTGCCACTACTGTAGTTATGAAGTTGCCACTCGAAGTTGCCCAACTGACACATGGCCAAAAATGCCACTGGCAACTTGGTGATTAACAGCAATTCACAGCTGCAGTTTATGTAAATATACTTATGCTCATGTAAATCCCCAGCAGGATTCTGGCCAAGCAGTATGATGATTCAAACAACGACATAATTAATATAGGCACAGTGGTATGTATTATAGGATAAAGGTGGCATAATGAAAACTGTTCAGATGTAACAGATATACGCATTCCAATATACAAAACTGCAGCCAGACAAGTACCATCTTAGATGGAGTTACCCTTCACTGTCGAAGAGGAAAGTATGCCTTTTCTTAGATGAGAGAAGTAAACAAATTCAGCACGTGCTTGTTCAAATCAACATCCATGGGTTTCTGGTCTGTAGCACCACTTTTGGGGGTATCTTGATGAAATGAAGACACATCCAAGTATCAAGGAGCACAGCTTCCAGGCCACAGTCTTTATGTCATTTATAATGATAGTATCATGAAAGTTCATGTATTCCAAAGCACACTGCAAAAGCTTATGTACCAAAATCAACAGAATTATTCAAAAGCAGAGGTTTCACTGATTGCTGGTTGTAACAAGTGCATCAAAGTGCTATTTTTCCACAGAAGAATATCATAACTATTAGCAATCCTATATAAAAGGCACTCCATCAGTCATATCATGTCTCCATCTTAGCATACCATTGAGCAAAAATATACATCCTGCCAAGTCCAATTTAGAAAATCAGTCCAGAAGACTGATTATCTATGGCATTAACCTATTTAATCTTAGAACTGCAGAGCTCGAAGGGGCCCGATGCATCACTGAGTCGAGCCCCTGTCAGAGAGGCACAGTGGGGAATTGAACTCCCAACCTCTGCCTCCACAGCCGGACACATAAACCACTTTAATCAAGCTTAGCCCAATGGCATGCAAGGTAGTGCAGAGTATTCTGAACTTCCCTAAACTATACTTCCCTAATGTGTTTTATGTGAGTAGAAGTTTAGAAATTTCCTGGATACTTTATTGGATACAGAGCTTCTTCATCATAAATTTACATTTAACATTGTGCGTGTTTATCTGAATAAGCACCCAAAATTAACAGACACAAAGTTTCTAAGATACCATGTGGTTAAATAGAGCAGCCTTGTATATTCCACCAAGCCAGAATCAATTGAAGTTTTTTCTTCTACATATACATAACTGGGGTGTAATGCATTGTAGTAATTCTTCTTTTTTTAATCCCTCCCTCTCTGTGTGTGTACTGTGATGATGTACAAATGGTTGCAAACGGGGCTACAACTTTTTACCCTATGGCCCTTTTGTGCTAGAAAAATAGGAATAGAAGGGTAACCCACAACCCCCACCAGTAAAGGCACGCTGTTTGTAACTTCATGTGAAGTACAGTAATTAAATCTTTTACATTTTAGTATTCTTGAGCAATGCATTTTGCAATGGTGTTCAACTGGATATTTGAAGTTCCTTCATAGATAGTGCCTGAAATAAACCATCAGGGAAAAATCAATCATGCGTATAAACAGTGATTAAAGAACTTTTCAGTAAACACCCAACCATGAAACCAAGATTCGATATGCAATCAAGCCACAACCAACAATTCTATAACCCATCTCCAGCTACTGGAATGGAAGTAATTTTTGTCATCAGTGATGTATTAACCACTGAGCAGAAACTTTTACCATGTGTCTGAAGTTCAAACACAGAGAAAATTTAAGGGGAAGTTTTCAAAAAACATTAACCTGAATGTTATTTTCAATGGAGATATTTCATACATTAAGCTGTGAGACATTGACATAGCAATATCTGTACAGGCATGGGCTTGTATTGAGATCTAATCATACTTAGAGTAGACCCAATAATTCCACTGGAACACAATTGAGTCATGAGTAATTTCAGGTCACATTGGTTTCAACAGTATTCAATGGATGACCGAGACAGGATCTCATGCATTATTAGTCCTATATTAGCCTATGCATCATATACTCAAGATACCACAGTGTATTTCCTAATAGGTCCATTAGTAGACAGACATTATTATTTCAGGCACACAGATTGACATCCTTGGATGGGACCAGTTTTTCCATGAAGCAATCCTATGTACAGTGGTGCCTCGCATAACGTTTTTAATTGGTTCCAAAAAAAAAACACCTTATGCGAAAAAAAACTTTATGCGAAACACCATTTCCCATAGGAATGCATTGGAAACCGGTTAATCCGTTCCAATAGGCACGGATTGGCATCCTTAAGCGAAAAAACCCATAGGAAACATTGTTAAACGATACAATGTTTCCTCCATTGGAATGTATTGAAGCCGACTCAATACATTTCAATGGCTTTGCGAAGTCAATTTTTGCAAATTTAAGTGTGACATAAAAGGGTCAAAAATGGTTTTAAATGCTTGGATTAGCTTCTGCACCCTCTAAAACAGATGCAAAAGTTAATTTGGCTTTGATCTGACTTTTCGTTAATTTATGGTGAATTTTTTCCCCCCAACTTTTGACAGCTGTCAAAATCTGACAGCTCCATTGTTTCCTATGGGGGAGAAAAAAATTCACAAAAAATTAACGAAAAGTCAGATCAACGCCAAATTAAGTATGCACACATTTTAGAAGGTGCACTAATGATTCCAAGCATTTAAAACCATTTTTCAACATGTTAAGATACTTTTGTAATTGAAAAAATGAACATCGTTAAGTGAAGCAGGGGACCTAAAACAAAAAACGTTAAGCGAAGCATGGTCCCAAAATCGCTATGTGAAAATCGCCCATAGGGAAAAACGTTATACGAAGCACAATCTGACTCTGAAAAAATAAACGTTAAGCGAAAAAAACGTTAAACGAAGCAAACGTTATGCGAGGCTCCACTGTAGTTGGTGTTATCACGTGAATCACATAAAGGAGCATCACTTCATCCGATCTACATTCTAGTCCTGGCATCTTAACAAAGTATGGCATGCAGTCATTTTTCCTATAGCAACTTAAGTTGGGAATGGGAAGTCAGGAATTTCCTGTGGCTAATTTTAAAAACCTGGATAGGCACCTTCTGAAAAGTACTGGGGCTGCACATGCCTCCCCCCCCCCCCGCAGGACTCTGAAGGGCTGCGCTAGCTCCACCACTCTCCCACTTCCAAAACATTTTTCTGTTCTTCTACATAAGACCAACACCAGATATCATTTAAGGGAAAAAGGGGGCGGGAATGGACTATGGAGCCATAGGCTTGTATATAAAAGGAGGATATAGGGCCCATGGGGGAGTTGTCCATGGGCCGTATACACTCCTTTTATATACAAAACAATCCGATTTTCAGATCCCTGTATACTTGAAACCAAGAATCAGTAGGAGACATGTGGACCATGAAAAATACTCCATCAATAACTTTCTGATCATCCGAGCTCAAACTTGAGAAACTGCTACTTACCAATCTTGCAGTCCCTGTAATATTTCTCAATAGGATAATCCTTTGTGAATCCAACTCCACCCATCCATTCAATACATTTACTAGTTGTTAGAGTTGCAACCTAAAAAAATATACAATAGGCACGACATAACTTATTTTAGGTTTAGATGTTTTGATGAGAAGAAACAAAGAAAAGTATGTCTATATCCAACTTTAGCAACAATGACACATTTTAATATTTTCACACAGTGGTCAAAGGTCTGCTGCACAGTGTTATACCACACAACTCAGATGACATCACAAGCACTGCTTTTTAGAGGAGAATTAAACGTTTCCTATTTTCTCCCTCCATCCAAGTTTCTGGAGACCCTTACAGATGTTGTTCATCCTGGGGAAGCCTTTGGGAGCCACAGAACAAGGAACAGAATTCTTTGATGCCTGAAAATCACTCCCACCAGGACCATTACATTCTATTCCTTTATGCAAATAACTTCCTTAATGAAAGCCACAGTTTTATTCACTTCATTCTCTACCAGTGCCATCAATCCAATGACTGCAGTATAAGAAGCAAGGCAGTAAATTTTAGAAGGTAGAGTTTATTTTTGCAATTTCGAGAAGCCTTCAGCACCACATATTCTGGCTGGAACTTCTGAGAGCTGCAGTCCAAGAACACCTGGGTTACCCCAGGTTGGGAACCACTGGTGTGTATGATTGGTGTGATTCAGGATTGAGGGCAGTTGCACCTTAGGCATTCGAAGAAGCCAGACCGCCAGGCAAATAATAAAGGGTTTGAAGGCTTCTTCTTCCTCAGACAGTTGGAAGCCTGCCTCATCTCACTGCAAACCACTGCTGAATTCTGAGATATTCAACAGCCATCTTCAGTATAGCATGGAGCATATTTGCTGTTCAGAGCCAAAAACCTGCTTAGCATGTCTCAAGTCATCATACTGTAGAAGAGCTGTTTCAGTACATACTCTGTGAGACTAAAATCACTGTTTAGTTTTCCAGTTTGAAAATACGCTTCCTATAAAGGTAAAGGTTCCCCTTGACAATTTTTGTCCAGTTGTGTTCAACTCTAGGGGGCGGTGCTCATCCCCGTTTCCAAGCCATAGAGCCAGAGTTTTTGTCCGAAGACTATCTTCCGTGGTTACATGGCCAGTGCGACTTAGACACGGAATGCTGTTACCTTCCCACCGAGGTGGTCCCTATTTATCTACTCGCATTTCCATGCTTTCGAACCGCTAGGTTGGCGGGAGCTGGGACAAGCGACGGGCACTCACTCTGTTGTGTGGATTCGATCTTACAACTGCTGGTCTTCTGACTGTGCAGCACAGGCTTCTGCAGTTTAGCCCACAGCGCCACGCTTCCTAGTACACTTTAAATGTATGAATGATTCTCAGTTAGTACAAATCTTATTTTCACACTGGAATTGTGTTGAGTGCTTGCAGCCTTACAGAGCATCAAAATAAAAGCACAGTGCCTTTCCGAGTAGGCTTCACAAGTAACCAACACTCACAACAAGGCTTACCTCTGCTGCATAATACTTGGCCATGCTTGCCTCTTTTATTAAAGGCTTTCCAGTTTCTGCAAGTCGGGCTGCATTATAGGTCAGCAGTCGTGCAGCTTCAATCTGGATGGCCACCTGAGCAACCTGGTGTTGCATGCCCTTGTAAGAATTAAGCCCACATTAGAGGAGAACTTACAAGACACAAAACAGCCTTTCCTCCCACTGTCAAAAACACGGTTAGTTCCTGAACCTGTAACTGGCTGGCACCTCAGTCCTTCCCATGTTTATCCAGATACTGTACAGGTCAATGGGGCACACTTTCAGGGAAACAAGCAGACGATTGCAGCCTGCGTGGCCCACAACAGAGTCAAACAATATCTAACCAGAAAAGGCAGAGGGAAATTATTGCTATCATTTTCATTTGTAAACACAGACTACGGCAACTACAGTGCATAAAGTGGTACAGTAGTTCCAGTTGTTAACCATATTATAGTATGGGTTTTAAATCGCCAATGATTTCTGTAGCAATCCCATCAGGATGCATGAAAGAAATGAAGGAGAAGCTGCAAGCCATTCATGCTGCAGCATGTTTTGCTATGAAAGACGCTGCCTCTTAAAATACATCCTTTATGGTAACTACTAAAAGATAACCCTTCCAGTGAGAAATGTCAGAGGACAATTGTAAAGCGACATCCTACTTGACATTGTAGCAACAACAAAGAAGAGTATCACCAATAAGCATTTTTCATTTTTGTATAAATACATTGACCAGAATTGGCTATTTATGCATCCCTGCATGTAGCCCAAACCTGCCATTTATTAATGAAGTGCTGGTTGTTTTCCTAGGACTGTGATAGGATACATGCTTAGGGAGACAAGTAGTACATTATTAATTAGCGGCAATTTGCCACTGCAACTTATGCAACTTCATTTCTCCCATATAAATTGCCAATAGGATCCTGATCATTTTACAATCAATCAATACCTGAAATTCAAATATAGGTTTTCCAAACTGGTTTCTCTGTTTTAGGTATGGGATGGTGTGGTCAAAACATCCTTGAGCTAAACCCAGCATCTGTGAACAATAAGAATGCAAACATCATTGTTATGGTTAATAAGAGATCTCATTCTCTATAAAGTTCAGGTGAACCTTCCAATAGATAGTGGTTCCCAACCTTTTTTGAGTCATGACCTTCTTTTATAATAGCCAACTAACCTGTGACATCCCACCCTGTCATGTTTGCATAAAGATGCATTTTTAATGGGGTAAAGTTTTTTATTTTCAGAACACAGAGGCTTCTTTCTCCCCCAAAGGGCCTGTTCCTCTTACATACACATACACACTAACTTTAATATCTGGCCCTGAAAAGTCAAGGGAGAAATTACTTAACAAGGACTACAACACATATAAGGCAACCTGAGAACTCCCCAGAAACCACTTTGATACACCCAGGTTGGGAAACACTGCTCGTATAGACTTAAAGAGTAAACATTGTTGAGCACTGTTCCCCAGTGATGTGAGCACTGCAATTCACTAGAAGTGGAAGAATGCAGCATCTTGTAGTAGAGAAACCTACAGGCTCTGTCACAGACGAAAGGCATGGTAAAACTGGATGAACGCCACAGGTCTGCTACCCCCCTCAATTAAATAAATAAAACCACATTTGTCCAAGACAAGGGAAGGATGCGAGATGGGATGTTCGGGATCTCCAGTCCCGCCTCCCTGAACCAACCTGTTCACTTATGGGTTGCTATTCAGCGCGCATGGCTGGGCATCCTGCACACTGCGCCAATCTCGGACTAAGTTCAGATGGCACTTCTCTGACTTCTGCTCTTCTGGCTGCTCAGCAGCTGGAGTGGCCAGAAGAGCAGGAAGGTGGAGAAAAGCCAGCTGGGCTTCATCCAAGTTTGGTGCAATGAGCAGGATGCTGGTCGTGTGTGATGTGACCTGTAAATGGATCAGTTGGTTCAGGGAGGCAGCCCTGGGGATCCTGGCCACCTGGATCTGGGATATTTATATAAGAATACAAATATCCCATCTCTAGGCAGGATCCCCCAGAGTCTGAGAGGACTGGGAGCACACAATGTGTTATGTTCTAATGTCTTCTGCTGCAGTTATGGGAGACCTTTTACTATAGTTCTGTTATGTCCTTTGGGAGCTGGGGAACAGCAGGCAGAATTCTGCACAATCTATGCTATGGGCTGTTCCAGCCTCAAATACTGGGCACTATGACTCACCTGAGCAGCTATCCCAATTCTTCCCACATTGAGCAGTTCAATTGCGCATTTATATCCCTTTCCAAACTGTCCCAGCATATTGGTCTCAGGAACCTGAGAGATGAAACAAAAAATTAGTCAATGATTCTTCGATCTATTTTTTTCCAAAAAATAGAAATAAAAAAGGCAAGCATGCAATTAATTCACGCTACTGCATTCAGGAAAGTAAACAAAAGCAAATATTGTGTAGCTTTTGGTTGGATAAAATACTGAATATGTATTAATTACAAAAAAACCCTCTAAAGTTATTTTCTTGTGCGATTTATTATTTATATTTATTTATTTATTTTATTTCTATCCCGCCTATCTGGTCATACTAGACCACTCTAGGCGGCTTACAATCGGAGCAACAATAAAATTATTAAAAACATTACAAATAGACACAAATGGAAATCAAAGAATATAAAAGAAAAATCGTCGGGGATTATCTGTTGGGAAAGCCTGCCTATACATCAGTGTTTTCAATTGTTTCCAATACCAATAAAAATATATTTAGAAGCTAAGAATAAAAAGCTAACAAAAATCTACACCTGGAATATAGCATTAATCATGCAAATTGCTTATACAACTGTATGCTCATTGACCAATACTATTATAAGAACAGAAGCAAAGTCTATAGGTGGCTTGGGAAGAGTTACTCTACCTTGACATTGTCAAATGTTACAGGACATGTAGATGCTGCTCTGATTCCCAGTTTATTTTCCTTCTTCCCCACATGCACCCCTTCTGTGTCACGGTCTACTATGAAGCATGTAATGCCTTTATAACCCTAAGAAAGTGATATATATAGAAAAATAAATGTGCTGGTAAATATTTATTTCTTATCATGACAGGCAAGGAAGTATGTAATAATTTGAGCAGCAGACTTCAACTGACTTGTAACAGTGTTCAAGATAATGAGACCTTCTTACAACAGTTCAACTAGAGCAGCGATGGTGAACCTATGGCATGCGTGCCACAGCTGGCACGTGGAGCCCTTTCTGCTGGCACGCGAGCCATAGGTCACCAGATCGCTACTCCCCCTGCCCCCCACGCAAAGCCAAATCTCAGGAGGTGGCTGCAGCTGGTGCTGGCACTTTGGCAGGCGGATACGGAGCAACTGGTGCTGGCAACAGAGGGGCCTTGAGGCACCTCCATGCCAGGATTCCCCCTTCCACTGCCACTTCTGTTCCGGGTCCACACTTCCGGTTCCGGGTCCTTCGGGTCCGCTGCCGCCGCTGTTGTGGAGGCGGCACACTGCCCACTGTTCCCCCCCCCCCAAGTTTGGGCACATGAGCCCAAAAAGGTTCACCACCACTGAACTAGAGGATAGATTCCTGCCTTAGCTGTCATGTTGCAACTTGCTTCTGTAGTTGACCTCTTCTATTTATGTCTCAGGAGACCTGCCTAGAATATTCACATTAGTGAGAACCCTCTAATTTCACACACTTGGATTAATAACAGTAACAAACCAAGGTAGCAAAAGATAAAGAGAGCCTTGTAGCATCTTAAAAGATGGACAAGTTTCATCTGACATACAGTGTTGTAGACTGCAGCCCACTTGATCAGGTGGACATGAGGAAATGGGGTGCAGTCCTAGAAAAGCTATGTCAAATAAAAGCGGTTAGCCTTTAATGAGTCACCAGGCTGGTTTTGCTGCAACAGAACAACACAACTTCCTCACTGGAAAAAGCAAAAGATATCCCCTCCCCAACCCAGATTAAAATAGAGGCAAGAGAACGGAGAAGCATCCCTGATTACTTGGTATGTGACAACTCCCCTTTGAAATAACCCTTGTGGTGGTGGTTGTTCCTAGCAGTGGCTGTGAATGCAGAGTCCAGTCTAAAAGCCCAACCAGCAGCATGTTCAAAAAACCAAAGAAGACAAACAGTATCTTTACAAGCAATAGTAAACATACAATTAGGAACGTATTTGTCACAGAATTAAGTATCTTACCATGTTTCAGTGTTATATTTATGTTTCTGCACATGTGCAAGAGAGAGCAACCAAGTACATTTTCCCACAAGTCTTCATGTATGCCTGAAGGTTTTTAATGTTTGATCATGACTGACCTTCATGACACCAGACAGCAACTGTTTTACCTACTTACAGCAGAAGGATTTGCATTTGCCATCACAAAAAAGACTCCAGCTTGTTCAGCAAAGCTAATCCACATCTTTGACCCATTGATGATATAATAGTCCCCTTTCTTTTCAGCATGAGTCTTCATGGAAAATGCATCACTGCCAGATCCAGGCTCTGAAATGCAGATGCTGCCCACCTGCCATTGAAGATAAAGTCATGTTAGCAGGCATTTTCACCGTATCATGTTCCTGACAACACATGCATAAAACAAAATCCAAACTGTTTAGTATACATGTCTACATTTACAGTTGACGATACACAGTGTAATGTCTCTTGATTCATACAGAAAAAGTAACCAGATGAGCACACATAGAAACAACATCTTGGTTTGGCTAATACTTTTATTGGATTATTAAAAAATTATAAAACTGCCTAATGTGGTGTATTGGATAGAACTAGAACCTAGGATACAGTGTGATGCCTCGCATAGCGACGTTAATCTGTGCAGCAAAAATCACTGCTAAGCGATTTCGTCGCTATGTGATTTTAAAAAGCCCATAGAAACGCATTAAAACCTGTTTAATGCGTTCCTATGGGCTTAAAACTCACCTTAAAGCGAAGATCCTCCATATGGCAGCCATTTTTGCTGCCTCTTATGCGAGGAATCGGCGTGAAAACACAGCAGGCGGCCAGCTGTTTAAAAATCATCGCTTTGTGATGATCGGTAAGCGAAACAGGGAACCGATCATCTCAAAGCGATAAAACCGCATAGGAAACATCGCAATGCGATCGCTTTTGCGATCGCAAAAAGTTAATCGCTATGTGGTTTCATCACTAAACGGAGCACCCGTTAAGCGAGGCACCACTGTACTTTCTTTTTACAATTGTTTCACTGTGGAGCTAACTAGGCAATAGTAAATCATTCCTTGAACATCTCACATACATTGAAAACTCTATTCAAATCCCCATATAACAAGAAGTGCAAGTAACCAATTATTTAATTAAGCTTTGCACAATACAATGTAATTTACTGTGTGGAACTATGAATAGACCTGCATAGAGTTGTGGAGTTAATTCCTTACGAATTTGAGAATACTACTAATTAAACCTGTGTTTAATAAACTTGCACCTTATTTCACGTACCAGGTTTTTTGCCATCCTGGGCAAATAGGTTCTCTTTTGTTCTTCTGTGCCATAGCTCGTAAACAATTTGGTGGAGAATGTATTCTGGAGTTCACAGGCAAGTGATACCGATGGATCAACTTTGGCTAACTCCTCAACCACCAGAATGACAGAAAAAAAAGAAGCTCCAGTTCCTCCATATTCTGGGTCAAGATCAATACTCATCAACTGAGAAAAAGAAAACAAGCTTTTGTTAGCAGGAGGGAAAAAGGTCCATATATTTTAGATCTGTACTGAAATTCAGTTGGAAGCAAAGGCTATTGATTTAAAAAAGGATACTGAAGTACCTCCCCTAATGCAGCCACAGCTGAGTAAAGTTTAACTGAACTTTTAAAGAGAGTATTTAACTGAACACGCTTTGCTTTCCTTTGCTTTGAACTATTTGACCGTTCTATGAATGGGCTCAGGTACATAGACTAACAGGGACCTTTGTGCTGCTGTAACAACAAGTCTTGGAACTCAAGTGTGTGTTTCTAAACACTTTTGCCATTTGTAATATATTCCATTAAAAGTTAAACAAAATCTTCTGTGCACAAAGACATGAAACTATACACTCTGTTCCTAAAATGTATAAAAATACTATACAAACCCCTCGTTCAAATAGCTCTTGTAGTAAAGATTCATCAAATTTTGCCTCCTCATCCATTTTTTGTACTAACGGTGCGACTCGCTCCTGAGCAAACTTTTTTACTGTAGGAAAGGAAAAAGATTGTGAAGGGAAGAGAAATCGAGTTATCGTTATTTATGGAATCATTTGCTTATGAACTGTCTTTTAGTGCTGCAAGCCTTAAAAGTCGCAGTAAAGCCAAAAATTCGACAGATGTAAATTTCAATAGCATCCCACGCAACAGCTGACTTTAATCACAGAATCATAGAATAAAAGAGTTGGAAGGGGGCTACAACACCATCAGGTTTGGCGCTCCCTCCCACAGAAGGCCCCACCTTTACTGTCCTTCCACAAGCAGGCAAAGACCTAAGTGACTGGCTGCCTGAGTGGGGTTGTATCTTAAAAGTGTTTTGGTATTGCTTATTATTTTTTGTATGGCATTTGTTTGATCCATTTTGAATTTGAACATCCACAACTGTTGCCTTTAAATACTCTCTTTAAACAATTTAAACTGCCTTAGGTCTTTTTAAAGGAGAAAGGTAGGATAAAAATATTTCAAATAGATAATTAAAATAAATTATAAATTGAGTCCAACCAGCTGCTCAGTACAGGAGTCCAAAGTCTTCTAACTGAGTTTGACACAGGCGTCTTACATAATGGAATGTACTCCATGAATAGGATCCCTTCTACCTACACAACGCTAGAAACTGATCTGTAAAAATTTTCAAATGACATTAAATGATAAAGGAGTTGGGTTTCAAAAATGAATAACCATTATAAAGAAAGTTTGAACTCCTTGTGCATCGGAGTGAATGAGGCACATGTGGCCCTTATTGGGATAGCAGCTTGAATCATCCCTCACTACTATGCTGTCCTGGACTGACAGGGAAAAATGGCAACATCTGGAGGATTATCAAGTATACTCATTTTGTATTAGACTGAGCCATCTTTTAAATATGCAGGTGTACATGTGTTTTAAAAATAATTACCCTGCCTTTGCAAATTAACAACTAGCCAGCAGAAATGGATTCTCCATGCTATTTGGGACAGTCAAGACTTACATTGCAGCCTAGGAAACAATGCCCAGTTCTTGTTGCTCCAGGAACTTATAACTTCTTCAAGCGTTTGCACATGTAGCATACAGACATCAACTTCACATGGATAGCTACCTATATGAGCATTTGGTCATCTTTTACTGATTGGTGTATGTGTGTGCATACAGAGAGAGAAATCAAAAAGCATTTTTCCATTTAGTTTTTGTGTGTGCAAAAATTATACTAAAAGAGAGAGAGAGAGACGCAGTAAAAGAATCAATTTTTAAAAACACACAAAATAAAAATGAAACAATTTTTTCTTAAATTGAATCTTTTACTGTTTCTCTCTCTAGTACAATTTTTGCACAACAAAAAACTAAATGGGAAAATGCACTTCGCTAACTACGAATAGTTATATTATAGCAAGTACTTTAATAATTAAATAAGATACATTACCCATTTCTTTAATCATCAACTCCTCTTCCATAAAGGTCTGAAGTGGGGCATATGTTAATCCATCTTTGGCTAGGTTTTGTAAAGCTTCTGGTTTAGAAGATTTAAAGACACAAGGGCTAGCCATCCAAGAATTTCTGTAAGGAGTCACATTCCATCTTAGCTGTAGATGAAGAACATTTTAAGAAAAGAAATATTACTGAAGAAAATAAACTTCTCCTGAAAGTTCTGGAAAGACAGCAAATAGTGTATCCTGGTATGCTACAGGGAGCAAGGGCAGACTCAGGAATCCTGTAAATGATACTTCGTCCATAGGCACGGCTGCCAGATGAAGATACTGGAGAAAGAAGAAATAAAGAGGAAAACAATACTCACAAGAGCACTATAGTGTTTTATCAAAAACTTGGGATTAAAAACAGATTGTGATCCACTCCAACACTGGAGTAAGGAAACCATGACCCAGATGTTGCTTAAATGAAACCGTTATTAATCACAGTCAAGGGTGAAAGATGATGGGACTTGCCTTCCAGCATGTGAAAGGCCACACATTTTCCATTCACGAAAAATTTGGAATGGCTACTGTTGAAAAGGCTAATGACCATGTCCGAGTCAATAAAGGAATGTACATTACATACGTATATCTGACATGAATAATTCACACCCATTAGCATCTAATGGAGTCATGGGAGAGGACTTTCTTGGTCTGAACCTCTCCTCTGGCATGCATTTGACCTGTCAAGCTATTGTTCCTCTAAAACACTGCACTTCACCACAGTCCCAGCTCATTTATTTTGAAAAAAATTGTTGGCTATCTTCATTTCCTCTCAGATTATCTTTATTAATTGTTGAGAAAAGAAATGGCTTAGGAATCACCAGATTCAAAGTCCTTCCATACCTCAGAGAGCCCTCAAGATTGGGCTTTTCATTTGTAACAGCTTACAGCTGAGATAGGAATCTTTACCTCCTATTGCAATCAGTGGGAGGGGAAAATGTTAAATTCACATGGGGAGGGGGAAGAGAGGACTACCACGACTTTGTACCCTGACCAGCACAAGATGGATGAGGTGGTACATCTCTGCTTTACTTCTCATCTCTACCCTGGTCTCCACTTTGGATTCTACTGTTTGTAATCAACTGATAATGATGTAAACTAACTATTTCTCAGAGGTGAACAGTGTGCAGGAAACATTTGTCTCTAGGATGAGACTTTAAATCTGATTTTTTTTTTAATTTAGGAAGTTATCTTATTTTTCCCTGTAGTTTACATGTCCTGTGGCTAAGAACACAAGTCAGACACAAATGCTAACTATTTATTTCAATGAATAGCTGTTAAAAATGGCACAGCCATAACTTTTTGACTTATTTAGACTAACCAATATATATACGCAGAGTTTGAAAATATTACTTTTGAGCTGCAGCTCCCAGTATCTTCCAGCTGACATAGGCACTGGCTATATTTATTTACCAAAGACACTGACCAAATATTATTCCAGGATTAGTTTTGAATGGTTTCAAAAGAAGATTTGCATTTTTCTGCTGCTACTTCAGCCACATAGAATCTTTCTGATTCTGAAAACTACTACAGGCAGTGATTGTGGTAGTATAATAACCAAAACAACTATAAAAGATAACCTGGAGTGGCTTGGCCATGGAAATCGTAAGGGAGTGACAATGGTAGACCCACTCCTTAAATATTTCTCGTATCTCAGAAACTTTATTTGGATCACCATAGGGCAGTTGTAACTTGACAGCACATAACACACACAGTTACATAATGCACCAACCAATGGTGAAGAGCCTTTTCAAAAATAAAAATGATTAAGTTTTTTTACCATCTCCTTTGCTTCAACATATCAAAACATGAGCTATTTAAAGTTTACTCCCAATCAAATTATTGTTTATCACTTGTTATGTGCCATCAAGTCAGAATGTACTTAAATAAAGCAAAAGTCTTCAGCACCAGCATAGCAGAGTTCAGTCAAATGTTAAGGAGCTATATTGAAGACTATTACAAGAGAGGAGGAGGAAACAGAATCAGAATTTCTTCAACCTAACCACTGTTGATTTTGGTTTCTCTGCCTTACTAGAAAAAAATGGGCACCAGCTGCCTCTGTCTCCAACTTTCTTGGTCAAAAGTTCCAGCTTCATGAACATGGAACTTATAACAGAGCAGACTTCACCTCCGGTACAACAATTTCCAAGACTTCAACTTTTTATCACCAACTGGTTTTTCTAAATCTGATTAAGGGTAGAGACAACAGCTGTACTGTTTACTGTTGCGTCAGACTGAAGTGAACTGCTTTGTGTCTTTTTCTGCTGAAACTGAACATTGGACTGAAGAGCCCTTCACTAGGGGGAAGAAGTAGAGGCAGAGGACTCCTTCCAGTTGAAGTCTGCCAACCAATGCAGCCAACTCGTCTTGACAACCTCATGGTATGGACTGAAACAATAAATGAAATTGCAACACTGGTTTTTCCAAATAGATACACAACTTTAAAATCAGAGAACTTGGCAATTATAGATAGCGACTTTGTTGCAACTGTGAACACTTCTCTCTTATCTGCTGAAATTCCATCAATGGCTGGCTCCTCCTTCGCAGCCAGCAGAAAAATTACTGCAGGAGTACAAACTCCCTTACAACCCAAGCTTCTGTTAAGTCCAAACACAGAAATAACAAAAGGATTAATGTCATCTACCAGACAACTACTAAACACAGTGGGGGAGCACTATATTCTGACTGGGAAAACAGTGTTGGCCATTTTCCATGAACTTAAACAAATACTTCAACTGGAAAAAATCCAGGATTCACCACATGGGTGCTCAAATGAGAATCCAATTCTGCCAAACCTTACTTGCCTAGGAAACAATAATGGGGCCACTGGGGCCACTGAGTCCACGATCAGAAGGGGAGTATATACAAGTCCTGCAGCCACACAACACCTGCTAATTGACCAAATAACCCCCAAAATTAAATTTAAATAAATAAATATACACACACATTTGGTGGCCAAAGAGCAAAAGTGTGATAGACTGACTGCATGATTCTCTCACACCCAGTGCTGCCTCACTTCAAAAGTCCTTAAGCAGGTCTGAGAGTGGTCATATGCCAATCCAATTCTCTCTCTCTCTCTTCTCTCCCCTCCCCCCCCCCGCTTTTCATGACAGATGCTGGGGATTAAACTTCTGCACAACAAAACATTAGGGTCTCCTCTAATGGGCGGGGATCATCATCTCCCCTCTCAGCAGCAGCTGATGAATGCACTGGAGCCTCACGCTGCTCATCACGGATTCGGCACCGCCACGCCTCGGTCAGTGCACTCTGCGCCCCTCAACATGTGTTAGGGAAGAAGATCTGGGGTCCGCTGCCCCACATACTCTTTGATGTTACCTGTTAATGAGGGAAAACATGATCTGATATACAGTATTCACCAGTTGCTCCATGGTGCTTCTGACACGAGCAAAGAAAGTACAGAATCTAACTTTGGGTAGTGTGGGCGGCATATAAATTAAATAATAAATAAATAAGGACGGGCCGCCCCTCTCCAAAGAGCTGAGCCCTATAAAGGAGAGCCTGCCTCCAACTCACCCTTCCTCCGCCGCGCTTCAGCAAAGCTAGCAGCCCACCCCCGGCTGTTGCTGCCGCCGCCGCCGCCATGGCTCGGACCCCCTTCTGGCCTCTCTTCTTCGCCCAATGCGAACCGGCCACCTGCGGCCCCACCTCTTCAAGGCGGCCCGCTAAACAAACCTGAAACCCTAAGGGCGGGGCTGGGGAGGACGGAGAGAGAATTCCAAGAGATACATCAAGCCCGTGTGAGGTTGCTCACTTCCGGCTCCTGTCCAACTGCGGGGCAACCATTACTGGAAAAGCGAGTCATTTCTCCCTTTTCCAGCGTCGCCTTAAGATAAAAAATCCAATTAAAAAAAAAATTATGCGATCTCTTCAGGATAGAATCCCTTAGACCTGCATTCGTGGCCGCCAACGTACGGGAGCAGTGCGGCTGCAGTTTGACAACCGGAAATGTCTATGCAAAAGCATTGTGCGCCTTTGGAGCACCTCCGCGTCGTACTCTCCTTGAAGAGCCGAGCGCTGCCCATGGAGCTCTCGCGGGACTTTGGAGGGGGAGGACGTGGGTTACGCCTGGGCTCTGGGAGACACAACAAACATGGAGGCGGCGGCGATGGCGGCGGCGGGAGCAGCTGCGGCGGTTGGGGGTGCCGGTGGCTGCCCGGTGCGGCGGAGGTGAGTTGGGGAGAGGCGGCCGCTTGAAGGGAGGGTTTTTCCTTCGTCCGAGGTGAGGGGACCGGGTGGCGTTTCTCGTCGCCCCTTAACTCCTTTGCTTCTCCGCTTTTAAGTTTTAAGGGAGACCCTGGCCGAGAACCTCTTGGGTGGAGGCGGGCAGGGCCGGGACGGGCCAGTGGCGGGGTCGCCCGTGAAGAGGAAAAG